TTTTTTTTTTTGCAATTTCCGATGAGAATATTTTAACGTTACAAAGGGAAAAAACAAGACGATTGACATTCTCTACAGGTGTCATATAAATTATGAAACAAAATATCGCTATATGGATCTATTATATACATACATACGTACATATATATTTCCAATTATATTTCATACAAGGCGGATAGACAGACATTTGATTTATTTGCATGTGTGCGGTGTAAGTTCTCAAAATAAATATTTTGTGCGATTTTTCAATTTATTATTTAGGGCACAGTCCGTGCATACGTTGTTGTTATTATTATTATTATTATTGTCTACTTTTTCTGCACACACATACTCTCAATGCAGACATGCAATAATAAAGGTTTTCAGTGTCAAGTTCAGGGAAATTGTTAAGCTTGCATTATGATTTTCGGTTTGTGTTTCAAAGTGTTTTCAACAATTGTAATGCATATTACACGTAACTTAATGTCTTATTTTGCCAATTAAGCAATGATATAATAACATAAATACCTCCTATAAGCAAACTTTAATTTAAACTTCACATTCATTCAAAATGTGAAAAACGTATGAAGAAAGTTTTCATAATTTACAGAAAAAAAAAAAAAAATTAAAAGCACATTTTTAATATTCATTCAATTCCTCTAAACTATAATATCATTATGTTGATTACATTGCATTTTAATGCATAAATAAAACTTGGATTTATTTAAATATATATATAAATAAAAGTCATGCTCATGCATTTATATATAGTATATGAACAAGAATGAAAAAAAGCAAATGTATGTCAGTGTTACAATTTAAGAGCATATATGCACACACACACGCATACACTATCATATGCCTTAATACAACTATATATGGATTTTGATGTTCATACATCACAAATGTCACATGTTTTTCCTTTCCATATAAACAATATTTTTCTTAATTTTGCATACACATATAAACACATACACACATACACACACACACACACACACACTTACCTATACTTCCAATTATGACTATATATATATATATATATATAAATATACATGCGTGTGTGACATATGTTTTTTCATAATATCACTGCTAAATATTGCTATACTTTCGTTTTCTTTTCAAAAGGCATATCACCTTAATCTAGCTGATGGTAACAAAAACCTAATAAGAGTGAAATTTATTATCAACAAAATCAACGATTTCGTATAAACATATTATATAGAAGATAATTAATATACTCTTTCTCGATATGTTAGTGTACTACGGTTAATAGCATAAATAAATAGCAGTGCAACTACTCATCGATTAAAGCATATGCAAAGTTCCGGAATTGGCCATAGCATTGCAAGACATCAAAGGATTCTTAAGAAATTTACTGCTTCTACTTGCAATTGTAGACAAAATCCTACAATTAAAGATATCACTGAGTGTCAAGATGTCTCCAATGTTCGAAGACCTGCGGAACATTGCGGAACGTCGTTATGAAAGTGGTTAAATGAACCTTTTTTACAGAAAAAAGAGCCAATGATGTTAAGTAGGTCTTTCTACCTTTTAGTAGCAGAATTCGAATCTTCGATCTAAATGAATTGTGATAATCTAACGTAAAATAGCCTGTGTGATTTTATAGTTGTCTCGAACTCTTTTTGACACCAAGTTCGTGCGACTGAATTACAATCTTTTAGGTTAACGTAGGATATATGTAAAATTGTTAGAAGATCTATTTACAAATTATTTATAAGAACTTTTATATCACTTGTCCGTTCGAATATTGCGACTCAACACTCTTGATTCGGCTAACTTTGCCTAACGCATATATTCTGCTTATATGCCAATATCTAGCATTTTCGTGTTAAACCCTTTTTCCACGAATCACCAGCGGCATGAGACTTTTTCATTCTATAACATCGGTATCACGAATCTGTATTAGGTCGTGTCATTTCAAGAATTTCGTTTCGGTCTTTATTAAATGCACGATTTTCGTAAAAATAATAATAGTGGTAATAACACGTTGTCTTTCCACCCTTGACTTCTTATGTTTCATCGTCCACTTTTCAATGTAAACCTTCTTGCTTAGAGAAAATGCTTTAGATTGCAATAAATCAATGCTCCTATAGTCACAGAATAGAGGCACAGAGGTGCAGGAACAATTGAATGTGCAGGTCTATGATCGTCGGTTCAAATCTCGGTGCGGCTGCGCGTATTTTGCATGAGTGCTCAGTCGGTAGAGTCAGATCCCTTACCGATTTGGCACGTACCCACCATCTTGCAACCATTCTAATCTCCCCATATATATTTAGCTGAAGAAGAACGAGAAAAATTTGTTAAATTTTCACTTTTTGTGATTGGCGAGACTGCAGGAAATTCACATCAAAGAATGAAAGGGTTGAACGTTTTATGGGATTTTTTCCGAACAAACCTGTGTCAAGAAAAGCGCGAATAAGGTTTTGGAAAATATTAATGATGTGCTTTCTTTGTCTGACATGAAACTTTTAATTAGTTTGCAATCCTAGGACCATAAAGTTATGCGTTCATATTCAAATCTTCTTTTTCAGTTTCTTCCCTTGAAAATTTTATGCTGGAAATGGTCGCTTTACCTGCAGCCGATAAAAGCAGAAGCGCTCATTTTACACTTTAACATTGTTTTCAGAGAAGGAAATTTTTATTTTTTATTTGATGGTTTCTTCCATTTCCTACATTAGAAGGTTCTAAGCTTATATTAGATCAACAAAGAAAAACCCGACTTTTCGAAAAATCTAGAATGATATTTTTGTATAATACAATTAATCGAAAATTGAAAAAATGAAAAATTGAAAAAATGTTCCCTTCAATAGCGATTATGCAAAATTCACCTTAAACCCTTTATAATGCGCTTTTTTTTCTTTTATCGGATTTTATGTTTATATGGGCAACTATAATTTTTCAAGAGTATTTGTATACTAGCGGACGTATGTGTATATTCTATGTATGCATTTGCCTAAGTGCCTATGATGACATTTGATATCCATTGCCTTTAATAGTTTAAGGTCAAAATATTTTGCCTTCGTTTATGAAAAATGTAAAAATGCATTTAAAATCACATCTATCAAAGCAACGCCATATACACACGATCAACAAGTGATATTTATATTTATAAGAAACTAGTGCAGTTATCACTGGCATGATGTCACACACGCCCACCTTCATTTAAAAAATAAAGAAAATGGCACCAAAAAACAAAAAAAATAAGAACTAAGAAAAAACAGAATTTTTTCTACTATGCTTTTTGATCACGGAGCATATAACGCTGGCTGGCTGCATAAGTGCACACTTTTTTTTTCTTGTTATCAATTGCACAGAACAGCTGTTTATGATTGTTGTTGTGTTGTTTTTGCTTTATATTATGGTATTTAAATAAAAGAATGTTTAAACAACAAGTAATTTTCTAATTAAGCCAGTAATAGTGTGAATAGCGACATGATATGTGTGCGTGCGCTCTCATGTCTGTGTATGTGTGAGTTTATGTGCAATATGTTGCACTTTTACGCGTTATATTGTTTTAAGTCATTGCTAAGTGTTATTCTCCTGATATTGACACTAATTATTGACAAAGTAATAAAAAAAAGAAAAAGCTCTGCTTATATAGATATGTGCGTATGTCAAGATAAATACTGTGCGCTTGTGTGAATTTAAGACTATTTTCACATAATTAATTTGATTACTTAAATCTTGAGAAGGAAAGGGAAGGAGAAAGTCAAATTTTTTTTTTTCATTTATATTTACAATCTTGTAAAATTTGAAACCGTAACAAAAATTTCGGGTTTGAAAATAATTAGAAAATATTTCAATAATCTACTATATTTAAATACTTTATTTCATGCAGTTGTAGAAACAACAAGTAAAAACACTATAGAGGGCTCCATTAAACACGCCACACCACCTCATTTAATACGGTTGTTCAGAGAATGACTTCTTAAAATAAGGCTTTATATCGGAAAAGCGATTCGATCTGAACCATTTTCAATAGCGTTGGGTGTACCCAATTTCGTCAAAATATCTCAACAATTGTGATCTGTTGGTTGAGCATACGAATATCAGACGGACCGACGGACAGACAGGGTTAGATCAATTCAACAAGTTGCTCTAAATCGATTGGATAAGATGTGGCTCTATCTCAAATTCATCTGGTTGTTGCGCGCATTCGCAGAAATTTAGTATATTTTTGTAACGAAAGTGGCATAGCGACTAAAAAGCAAAAATTCCTAAGAATGGACACATTTATGAATGTTGTGTGCTCAAGCCCATTTAAGCGGAAAAAAACTTCATTCATATCAAAACATATTCATTAAATGATTTTTAAACGCACTTTCCATATTTTATTATTGTACCCGGGTTTCCTTCCGAAAGTTTAATATTCTATGAAATAAAAAAAGACATTACAACAAAGCCTGTCTCTTCTCGAGACATGTCGAATATTCAAATCGAGTTCAATCCTAGCCGTACCACACTTCTTTTGTAACGAATCATACCATGACGTGTCTCTCAATCACTTATGTCAATTGGTCTCAAAAAATTGTACTTCCACACTAACACACGGGCATAGAATTTTCAGACTTACAAAAAACATATTTTCTTTTTTAAATCGCACAGTTACATATCCTTCGCGTTCCTTTCTTCATCTGAAAAAGCATGTAAAAATTAAAAGCCCATTATTGTTAAAATTAAGTTTATTACGATTTCAACAGACCTCATTTCTTCGAAAATTAAGTGGAAGTGAACAAAGACAAGATAGGCAAGGAAATAACATTCGGCTAGAGCTGAGTCATTTATATCCTGCGCCCTTATCTTAAATTAGTAAAGAGCCGATAGCCTGAGTTGCTAGTGCTCAATGCCTTTTTTTAGTCTAAGAATTTATTTCATTAGTCTAAAATTAAAATAATAATAATAATAAATTAGTAAAAAATATATATTCGGCTCTAGCTGGTTCTTTTATATGAACCCTTCACATTTATCCTGAATGGGTACGAAATTATATTCGATTATATTATAAACGAATCTTTTGTACCCGCCAGTTTGGAATGGACCGAAAACAAAAACTTACATTTTCAGACTATCTTTTCCAATATGTGTAAAAAATACGTAGAAATTTTTATCATACGTCTGTTCTAGGTCACGTTTGTCATATCACTGCAGGCGTTTTCTTTGACCGATTTGGCCTATTTTTAGATAAGAGAATGTTTTTACCGGACTCCACACAAACTGATAGGTGAAGAGACTAACATGCTTAGATCGATTTTCAATCGAATGCTAATCAAGAATATATACATTTTGTAGAATCTCTAAAGGTTTCTGTTGGGTGCTGCAAATGTTTTGACAAATGCATTTTCCTTCCAGTGATCTCCTCAAAGTCGTTAAAAGATTAGGAAATATATAGTTAAGTATAGATATTGCTTTGAAAAGGCTGCTTGTTGTGAAATTTAACTGAACAAGCTTAATTACTTGATTCTATACCTAAGAAAATAGCTTTGCAAACTATAAAAGTGAAAATAGAACATGATCTTCCACTTTATTGTTAATAAAAGCTAACACTTCTAATCAGTGAAGAAAATTTAGAAGAATGTCTAAATGAAGCGTAATCCTAATTAATGAGAAAAATTTCTTTTTATATTTATATATATAGAAGTCAAAAATAATAGAAACTAAAACTGTAGTTAGTAATTATTAGGGTTCACAAGTATTTGACCTCAAATAATAATTCTTAAGGAATTTTAAGCGAATTTTAACACGTTTTTTTATTGATTTCAATTGAAATGCAAACCAACATAACATTACAACGAGTAAAGAGCAATAAACAGTTTAGAAATTGTAACATGAAAAAATATCTACATACACATATGAAGTAGTGGACAAAATTATTGCAAGTTTCTCGAGAATTTGCTCTTGTGGGTTTTTTGTAATACATATTGGTTTTAGTCCAAGGGATGTAAGCCAAAGTGATTATGAAAGGATGGGGATGCATTCATTTGATCGCAAACTTTTAACAGCCATCTTTTTCGGTCTTGTTTTTTTTGATAAGCCATTGTGTATTTAAAGCTGCAATAATAATACTCGCGGTTATACCAAAATATTACCTCACATGAACGTATAAAAATTGTTAGCAGGAGTAACAACTTATTTTCTTTGTTCACTGCAAGCACATATATCAATTGACTGCAATGTTCTTTCCCATATTTTCTACTGTAGGAACGCGACGAAAAATGCAATGGTGTGACATGCGATTGTAAAGGTTTGAAAGGTCGCCCTGGCACAATTGGTCCTAAAGGGTTTCCTGGGGCAGAGGGTCCACCTGGAAACTTGGGCCCAGATGGTCCATCGGGGCGACCGGGTGAAAGAGGTGATCCTGGCGAATATGGCGAGCAAGGCGAGAAAGGTCACCGTGTAAGTTTTGAAAGTGAATATTGCTTTTCTTTCTTTCTCTTATATTTCCTTTTTAATTTTAATTACTAATTCAGGGCGACCCAGGCGAGCATGGTCTCTCCGGTAAACCGGGTCTTCGTGTAAGTACCTTCTAAGATTATTTATGTTTTATACTAAATTTTTTTTTTCTCTTTAGGGCCCGACCGGTGAAGATGGTCCTCATGGACCTCGTGGTATTGATGGCTGCGACGGTACTCCGGGTCAAATGGGTTCACCTGGCATTCCAGGCAGGCTTGGTGGCCGTGGTGAAGTCGGTAAGCCTGGTCCTCCAGGTCCTCAAGGTGATGCCGGTGAAGGTGGGATCAATTCAAAAGGCACGAAAGGCAATCGTGGCGAACGCGGTCCTGACGGCTCGGAAGGTATGCCGGGATATGAAGGCATGAAAGGCTACAAGGGTGACACTGGCTTCTCTGGTGCTATGGGGAGAAAAGGAGAAGAAGGTTTAAAGGGGTATAAAGGCGAAATGGCTGAACCGGCAGATTTACAATTGCAACTACTGGGACATACGGGCGATAAAGGTGAACCTGGCGAGGGCGAAGGTGCTGAATGGAAACCAGGGAAACTAGTAAAGGGTTACAAAGGTGACAAAGGACCAATCGGCTTCAACGGTTTCCCAGGTATGCAAGGCGAAATGGGTGAATTCGGCCGTCCAGGTTTACCAGGTGCTCGGGGCGATATTGGCGAGCCTGGTGAAAGAGGTAAACCAGGCAAATCCGGTGAATCGGGCTTTCCAGGTGCAAAGGGAGTAAAAGGTGCTCCCGGGTATAATGGATTAGACGGGGAAGATGGCTTGCCTGGTGAACGAGGCGATGATGGATTCGATGGAATTCCTGGTGTTCAGGGGCCTGCAGGTCCTCCTGGATCCTACGATCCAAACTTAGATATATCACTTCCTGGCCCTATTGGGCCTCAAGGTGACATTGGTATTCCTGGACCTCCTGGTCTGCCTGGAATACCCGGAAAACAAGGCCGCCAAGGCCCTCGGGGTCCTACGGGCATTCCGGGTGATGCAGGCCTCGACGGTTTACCTGGCCGTCGTGGTATCAGTGTGAAAGGAGACGACGGTGATTACGGTTTAATAGGATTCCCAGGTCCAATGGGTCCTCCAGGTTATGCTGGACCTATAGGTAAGGTAGGAGAGACTGGAGCGCCAGGAAAAAATATTTTAGGATCTAAAGGATATCGAGGAAATATGGGTCTAAACGGACTTGATGGCTACCGAGGAGATCGTGGTGACGCTGGTTTACCTGGTGACAAAGGTGATCCGGGAATTGGTGTAAACGTTGTAGGTCCTCCTGGTCCGGATGGTCTACCGGGTCCTCGCGGTCAGCCTGGTGACGACGGTCGTCTTGGCTATCCTGGAATAATAGGGGATAAGGGCATTCGAGGTGATGATTGTGGCATTTGTCCCTCAGGCCCTCAAGGAAGTCGAGGAATTCATGGTGATGCCGGTTATCCCGGAGTTCACGGTGACAGGGGTTTACCCGGCCTGACAGGAGAACGTGGTCCTAGGGGCATGCCAGGTAGACATGGCCCCACCGGCTTTAAGGGCATGCGCGGTCCTGACGGTATTCCCGGAGAGCCTGGCCGTTCTGGTCCTCACGGTCGCCCTGGTATAGTTATAACTACTGGGAACCGGAGAGAAGCTGCGCGTGGTGATACGGGCGATGTTGGCGAGCGTGGCACGCAAGGGCAGCAGGGTGATCGCGGGCTAAACGGTCATCCAGGACTGTGGGGTTTAAAAGGTGAAGTTGGATCCCGCGGAGATTATGGAGACGCTGGCCGCCCTGGTCGTGATGGGTCAGCAGGTAGACCAGGAGGCAATGGTAGACCAGGCCGCAATGCAACTACTCCAAAAATATACTTAATTGGGGACCCGGGTTATGATGGGAGAAAGTAAGTAAATTAAAAAGAAACAAAAATCTGATTAAAATAAATTTTTTCTTTCAGAGGCCAAATGGGAGAATATGGTACCATCGGAAACAAAGGTCAAAAAGGAGAACCCAATCCAGGAACTTTTTATGATAATAGAGGCGACAAAGGAGAGAAAGGCTATGATGGATTACCAGGCCTAAGGGGTCTTAAGGGCTTCCAAGGCGATGAAGGAATACCTGGCATGCCAGGTGACATGGGCTTCCCAGGTCCTACAGTTCAGGGTCCAATGGGTGCCAAAGGATGGCCGGGTCTCAGCGGTGACATGGGCTTGCATGGTACGCCGGGGCTGAATGGTCTTGATGGTGAACCTGGAGATGATGGCTTGCTCGGCAGAAAAGGCCAACGGGGCGATCCTGGACCATATGTTTTGCCCGGCGATATTGGTATTGACGGCCGATCTGGTCCAAAGGGTGAAATGGGCGATATTGGCTTTCCTGGGCTGCCAGGACCAACAGGGAAGCCCGGCGTGAAAGGCGTGAAAGGTACGAAAGGCGATAACGGTCCTCAGGGCTTGCAAGGACTTTCTGGAAGTAAAGGACAACGTGGCGATATACAACCAGGCTATTCTGGCTTAGCCGGAGCGCCTGGACGGGACGGTAGAGTAGCTCCACATGGACGAAAAGGTCAAAAAGGTGAATCTGGGCCACCAGGACCTTCCGGTGTTCAAGGAGTAAAAGGTAGTATTGGTTATCCGGGGCGTAGAGGTTTGGTCGGCGACAAAGGCCAACCAGGTATACCAGGTGCACAAGGAATGCAAGGTTTTGTTGGCATACCAGGTGAGCAAGGAGACCGAGGCGAATTAGGGGCAGATGGACGCCATGGCGATATGGGCCCTAGAGGTGCACTCGGATTGATGGGAGCTAAAGGTATTCATCACTGCTCATTATGGTTTTGGATATTTTTTTATTTTTATCGACTTCGCAGGTGTAATGGGCGATTTTGGTTCTGTTGGACGACCGGGTAATCATGGATTTCCTGGTCGCAAAGGTGCTCCAGGAACCCGTGGTATTCCTGGCAGAGCAGGTCCTAAAGGTTTCCCTTCTCGCAGTGGCGTTAAAGGAGAAATGGGTTTGCCGGGCTTTGTTGGACCTGTAGGTTACGATGGGCTGCCAGGTCAAAAAGGAATGCAAGGAGCTAAAGGCGATGACGGAATCGGTTCTGATGGTTCACCAGGACTCAAAGGCGAAACTGGTATACCCGGCCGAAATGGGTTGCAAGGATTGGCTGGTTTAAAAGGGCAACGGGGTGACTTTGGTGAATTTGGTTTTCCTGGTCAAATAGGTGAAGTGGGTGAACACGGTTTACCAGGCTACCCAGGTAAACACGGCGCGTCTGGAATTAAGGGTTCCATTGGTCCACTTGGTGCTTTTGGAGAGCAAGGTGCACACGGGGATATCGGCGAAGTGGGCTATGCTGGTTATCCAGGGAGTCCCGGCGACCGCGGAGAATACGGTGTTGTCGGAGAAGTTGGTTCTCCTGGCGAGCAAGGTGATGAAGGTGTACCTGGAAGACCTGGTGTATTGATGATGTCCTACGCACCTCAAGGCGATAAAGGCAATCAAGGCTATATGGGTGAGTCTGGACCTATAGGTGAAAGAGGTTATGAAGGGAGTCCAGGGTATCGCGGTCGCAAAGGAGACCGTGGTGACGTAGGCTTAGTAGGTTCAGCCGGAATTGATGGTATTCCGGGTATAAAAGGCGAGCAAGGTGATAAAGGCTACCCAGGACCTTCTGGTCAATCCTCAAATTATGCTGAACCAGGTGACGAAGGTGATTCCGGCTACGATGGCTTGCCTGGAAGGCCTGGCCGCACAGGTCCTAAAGGTGCACCTGGAGACGTTGGAAATGATGGCATACATGGGTCTGCGGGGCAAACCGGCATAAGCGTCATGGGTCCGCAAGGCATGAGGGGTGATGTTGGGTATCCCGGCCCAATGGGTCGCAACGGTCTACACGGGATGACTGGAAGAAAAGGTGACCGCGGTGACATGGGCCCTCGTGGTATTCTTGGTGATATGGGCATGATAATTCCTGGCATTCGAGGAGATAGAGGAGAGCCCGGACCACAAGGTATGCGTGGTCAAGACGGTCGTAAAGGCGAACAGGGCATGTCTGGTAGACCTGGCCGTTCCGGGCCAACAGGTCCTCCTGGGCCTCGTGGTCCAACAGGTGATGCAGGTTGGAGCGGCATTGACGGTTTAGACGGCCTAGTTGGAGAAGTTGGTGAGCCAGGTGTTACTTTTCCTTTTGATTTTGCTCGAAAGGGTGACAGGGGCGAACCTGGTATTGATGGCTTTAAGGGCGAAATGGGCGAGCTCGGTTTACCTGGCGAGGTCGGTTACCAAGGTGCTCAAGGTGTGCGTGGGTATTCCGGCGAGCAAGGTTTAATAGGTTTAATAGGGCCCGATGGGCCCAAAGGTGATTTCGGCATGATGGGACATCCTGGACGCACAGGTCTTTCTGGTGCTCCAGGACGTAAAGGGGATATGGGCAATCCGGCACCACCACCACCACGTCCCAAGAGCCGTGGGTTTGTGTTCGCCCGCCACTCTCAATCAGTACGCGTCCCTGTTTGTCCCGCAAATACAAATAAATTGTGGGAGGGCTATTCGTTAGCTGGCAACATAGGCAGCAGTCGCACCGTCGGTCAAGATCTAGGACAATCCGGTTCTTGTATGTTGCGCTTCAACACTATGCCCTACTTGGTTTGTGACATAAATAACGTGTGCAATTATGCACAGAACAATGATGACAGCATGTGGGTTTCAACATCTGAACCCATGAATAATGCCATGACTCCAATACAACCCCAAGAAGTGATCAAATACATATCCCGGTAAGTTTTACTATTTATTTACGAAAAATACGCCAAATTAATGAGAACAACAACAATTTCATAGTTGTGTTGTATGTGAAACTACCACACGAGTCATAGCCATGCATAGTCAGAGTATGTCTATACCTGATTGCCCAAATGGTTGGGAAGAAATGTGGACAGGTTTCAGTTACTTAATGGTAAAATTTGAAAGAAAAAGATCTGACAATACAAGTTTTAATAATCATTTTTTAAGACAACAACTGATAACACTGGTGGATTTGGCCAAAACCTAGTTTCGCCCGGTTCTTGTTTAGAAGAATTTAGAGCACAGCCGGTTATTGAATGCCATGGACAAGGTCGCTGTCACTACTACGATCCAGTTGCTTCATTTTGGATGGCTGTTATTGAGGAACATGAAATGTGGCAAATGCCTAGACAGCAAACTTTGAAAGCCGATCAGACGAGCAAAATTAGCAGGTATAACTTTTTTTTTTTTTTTTTTTTGCCTCGCCATTCACCAGAGTGGGGTTTATTGTTCCATACACAATAAACTGTTATGGACTCTGGTGCTGTTTAGGCCCCTACTCTGTGGGGATTGTCTAACTCGCCAGGGGGCGTAGTACGCTTAAAAGTGGCTTGGGCCACCGTGGGGTTAAGCCTTTCAGGCAGGAACCCACGTTAAACCCTTGCCACAAATTCTGTAAAATATAGAAGACCTTAAATTGCAAAAAATCACATCTTTTAATACGTAAATTCATTTCAGATGCACTGTCTGCCGACGAAAGAACGATTCATATATAACACGTTTGACACCTGTAGACTCAGCGGCCTATGAATTTAGAAGGGGTTATGAAAGGCTAGCACCAGCTCCACCACCGCCACCGCCGGGTCCATACAGACGTCCCCATAATCGACGTCCCTATAATCGCGGGCGCTATCCACGTGAAGACACAACGGCACCCTAAAATTTTGTATAAACTTTTTCATTTCCCTTCAAGTCTAAACTAATTTAAGTAGAAATTAAAAATTTTTAATGAAAAACATCAAAATTATTTAACTAATAATTGCTTTAAGTTACGCAATGAATTTCTGCCAATTAATAAAAAACGAAACTAAATGTGCCATTAATAAAATTTACTCGTAAATAAAAGAAAAAACTTAACTATTTAGTAATCATCCCTTACACGCAATTTATGTACATTTTGGTCCGTGTTTCACCCTCTCTTAAATATTTCAAACAATTATTTTTATGTATATTTTAAGCATGTTACAAAATAGATATACGCGGCTTTAACCACAGCCGTAAGGTAAAACATCGTTGATCAATACTTTCAACCACTGCCAGGAAAAATTTTGATCGAAAACGGTGAAAATATCTAAAAAGTCTATATTTTTTATTCATTAACATTCAATTAAGCATTAGTTTTGTAATTATTAAATACATGTGTTTTAAAATTTTAACTTGTGCGGTTTTCTTTGCGAACAAACAAATGCGCGGATATAAGGATATAAGGTAGCGTGCCAAGTGTCGTAATTTGCCCAAGATGCCCGCCAGATAACGTTTGCCGTAAAAGCTGCTGAAGAAATCATGGCAAGTGCATATACAAGCATTGAGTCATTAATACATTAATACGTATTTATATGTATGCATATATATATACATAAATATATTCTTAAGAGTTCATGTTATTTAAAAAAATGAAAATTTAATGTCAAAGCACTGGATTGACTGCATATATTCAAACCAAATTTCTCTAATATTTCGAATTGACAACAGTAAGTGGCAAGAAAACTCGTTTCCAATGAATAATCGATAATTTATTTCAGACACCATTTCATAGTAAAAATTTTATTGAAATGCATTTTACCAAAGAATACAGTGAAAAACTGAATATATAATAAGTATGAAAATCGTTTTCTATCTCTACCACACGGCATAAAAAAAAAACAAAGCACTTTATGACTTCTCGATAACTTTATTGTTTTACCGAGTTAATCAATTTAGTAAGTGAGGCATTCCTTTAATCGAACTTCCAAAAACACCTTTCTTTTCACAATTCAAATTATTTCGTATTTTAATCTTATCAGGCTTGCGGTAATGAGAAAAATGTCAAGCGAAAGCAAATATACGATCGAGAATTTAAAGAGCGTTTTCTTCAACAATGGGACCCATACATTTTGTGTGGGAGACGTTACAGTTTTGGGAGTGTTACAGTTTTCAGTAATTATGCATTACGGTTTTCAATGATCATCATCTCTTTAAACGAGAATTTACACATTAACGCTCTCCTCTCTATCACAATTTTTGGACAGTGAACGTTCTGGTGAAATCTTAAAACCTTTTCAATCTTAAGCATATACCTTTAAAGGCAGAAGGAAGATTGGTGGGTTGGAATAAAAAAACAAATGCTTGGAGAGAAGAGAGAGAATTCATAAAGAAACATATAACGATTAGATCGATAGAAACGCAGAAATATCATTTTACACCTAAGTTGTGTTTATTTCTTCGTCAGCTCCACTTGCACTTATTAAGTACATATAACAAAATGCAATTAATACTTTCCTATTATAGTATCAAAAGATTATGGTACGCATATAATATTAAAATACCCTATTTTTATCATGGCAATGCATGAAAGAGATACATTTCGCGAAAACTTGGTTGTTTGTTTAAAAAAAAAACTTCATTGATTTTTAAGTTTTCATTATTACTCATTGCGAAGATCACATAATGATTATTACTCGCGCAAAAATAGGACTCAGTCAGACCAAAATGAGAATTGCTATGATAAAAACTACAGATGAGACCGATTCATATGTCTTTAGCATGTCAAAAGCAACAAAAATTTAATGAATTTTTCTCATTTATTTATTTAATTTACTAAATTGGTTCATTTGTTTACAATTAGGAAAAATTTCATCGGAGATTTATTTTACACAAATTTAGAATATTAAATAAATAAGAAAAAAAAAAGACAATTATTCATCTATTAGATTTATAATCATAGCAAAATGCGATGGTAGTGATATGTTTCTATCTATCAGGATCATATGCGAAAACGATCGTGGTCAAAGAGCGGTGAAGCACCTCAAACGGCCAGGAAGGTTTTGCTATGCATTTGGTGGAACTGGGAGGGGATTATTTATTATGAGTTGCTTCCATATGGCCAAACGCTAAATTCTGATCTCTACTGTCAACAACTGGACCGTTTGAAGATAGCGATTGACCAGAAACGGCCAGAATTGGCCAACAGGAGAGGTGTCGTGTTCCACCAGGACAATGCTAGTCCACACACATCTACAGTGACTCGCCAGAAACTTCGGGAGCTTGGTTGGGAAGTTTCAATACATTCGCCATACAGTCCGGACTTGGCACCAAGCGATTATCATCTTTTTCTTGCATTGCAAAATTTCTTTAATGATAAAAAATTGGAACTTAGGGAGGATTGTGAAAATCGACTTCTAGAGTTTTTTGCAAATAGAGACCAGGACTTCTATGAAAGAGGCATTTTGAAGTTACCTTTAAAATGGCAACAAATCATACAACAAAACGGTGCATATTTGACCCAAATCGGACAATCCGAAGCATGTTAAATAAAGTCCTAAGAAACGTGGCCGGAGCAAAAATATAGTTCCGAATAAAAAATAAAATTATAAGTAAAATTAATTTCTTTGAACACAAAGTGAGCTTTCACGCCATAAAATATTTTGAGCATATTTCTTGAATATCAGTAAATATATTCCCTGATTCCTTGATAAAGCCTAAGTAAATGACGAGTCGCTATATGCGTATATTTCCAAGTTGTTAAAATTACTTTGAATTTCTAGGTGTAATTCATTTAAAGACTGCGTTCCATATTGACTTTAGTCTGCTTGCAATTTTTCTTTAATACTCATCAATGTTGCTCGATAACAGAACCAGCAAAATTAATGAAAAATTCCAAAATGCAATTTAACTTTTTAAAAATTTTATTTCCTTATGGAATAATTTATTACTCTCTAATTTTTTCTTTAAGAATTTGTTAAGAAATAAAATTTCAAATATAGAATGCAATATGGAAACGCTTATTATCAGACCAAAAAGATAAATATTGGTTTCCAAGGGAGTCTCTTTCAATGAATCTTGATCTTCTTCGGCATCCTGGGAAATTTTTAAATTAAAAGCAGAAGATATATCTACAAATACTTTAATTTGAAAAGAGTTTTCTTACCTCCGCATTGCCACTTATCAAAGCCAATAAAAAAAATAAAAAACAAATAAAGAAAAGGAATAAGACAAGATCAAAATCTATCGTATTTTGCATAATTATTAGCGGGACTTATTCTCCATGCTCTTTTACTTATATTATAGCGAATATCGTGGCTTTCGTGGCTACTATTTTATAATGCAAACCTATTTAGTGGCAATAGATCTTAAATGGTTTGGTCACGATCGAATATAATTTTCCTACTTGTTTCAATATATATAAATAATCAAAATAAGATGAGAAAAATTGTAAATATAGTAGAGGCGTGATCTTCTGAAAAAGTATTCAAAAATATGGAAATTGTTAGGTGACACAGCTACACCGAAAAAAGGTTAAGAGAAAAAACTGAGAATAGGTAAAAGAAGTTAAAACCGAACGAATGAAATGGAATAAAAGGAGAAATCTGTTGTGGAAATTACTAGTTATATTTAATTTCTAGTAAACCAGGTAAATATTCCTGAGTCAATCAAAATAGTACTTCAGAAGTTTTTCAATGAAGTTTGTCCACTGGTTATGAACTGGGTATAAGATACCACTTACTGAAATGCAAGAATTTTCGATTTTTCGATTATTTAAACGCAGTCTTACCGTTAAAGTTAGCAGCGAAAAAACAAATTTTATGATAAGCCGAGATTATAGTCTCCCAATGTAAGAACAATGTAACTATCGATGTAGTGAGTGAATAAATAAAAGGAAACTATATAGATTAAAAAAATTCATTTGAATATAATTTAAGGAACAAAAATAAATTGACCCCTAAATGAAAGGTCCACGATGCCGTTTTAAGTTGGGTTTCTCTAGAAGAGATACTGCCAAGGGATTTTGCTGAGTAAATACATGTTCAAGTATTGCGAATTGTAAACAAATGTGGACGCTTATTCTCACATGTTTGGAATTTTTATACAAATTATTGAGAATCTATTCAGACCCATATCCCTCTTGCCCGTTCTTCTAATAATTACCAACCAAATGATTAAGAAGAGTCTAACAAATTTTCTGAACCACTCACACCTTCTCCCGTCAAGGTCCTTTGCTTACCAAAAAAATATCTCCACCGGTATGAGCCTTAATGAAGTCCTTTTCACAATTGCAAATGAAAAAGCAAATGGAGACCAGGTAGACATGCTTTGCTTAGACATTAATAAAGCTTACGACTGTGTAAATTTAGCGAAACTGGACCAATTTCTATCTGATTTTAAAATCCCTACACAAAGTAGGCATTGGGTTCTCAACTTTCTTTCCTCGAGAACTCTCGTATTAGATTCATATACAGTCGAAGTTTGCGGAGGTTTAACTCAAGGTAGCTGTCTCAGCCCAGTTCTTTTCAATTTATACACAGCCGGTTTACATAAATTACAGGACAATTCTACCCATTTATTTCAATATGCCGACGATTTCCTCATCATCTCTGCTGGAAAATCATTAATGGAAGCAGAAGAAAATGAATTTGTTAAAGACATACGTAAAAGAGTATTAAAGCAAATTTCAATTTCAGAGAAAAAACTCAAACCCAACTGGAAAGAATTATTTACAGATGTTTACAATGACGTTCCATTGCATTTACAGGAACAAATGAACGAGCTGAAGCGGAATATTGAAGAGAACAAAAGTTACTATCCCGTTAAGAATTTTAAAGCTTAAAAACTTCATTTTTTCAATTATTTTTCACTACCGTGAAAGATTCCTCTCGTTAAATTATTTAAATAATTGGTGGCAAAGTGCTTTACGTATTTATTGTTTTGTAATATTATTATATCTGTAAGGCGCAGTATATACAATTTTCGAACGCTATATTAAATCGAGCCTTAATTAACTTCCGATGCAGGATCAGACAATGTTCGCGTCTTCC